TATATGTTTCCCCTTGTGACTTAAGCAATAGCACATGTGGAATTCAACCCATCTCTGTTTGTTATGCTTGGAACCCCATACATGTTGCCTTCTGGTAGCTTTAGATTATTGGCAATGACCGTCACCCAGCTAGTCAGCTAGAGTCATAAATAGTACCTGCTGCCTTTCCCCCAATGTAAAAATGTCAGGTACCACATTGAAGATACTAATGAGCGATGGAGAGACAGAAGGACAAGAAGCAGGTACCAATGTGTGACCCCAGGATTAGATTCCAGTTTGGCATGTCAGTTATTCAATCCAAAGCAGACAGGCCAGCAGGTAAGAAGGCAGGGTCTCTGAAGGACCCCCAAGGGAATTCTGCCTTCAAGCAGGAAGGATGAACATGGCACAAGAAATAAAAGACAGGCCAAAGGAATCCAACCCTTACAGGATCTGAAATAGGTTAGGAGGTGGAGACAGTGTAAAGCAGGTAGGAGGGTGAACAGGTTTATGGAAAGGCCTGGCCTGCCCCTGGATCTGGAAGCTTTGTCCCACAGAGGATTGAAAGAGAATATCTCGGCTAAGGTTGGATGGTCAAGGTAAAGCAGGTGGCTCTGAGACCAAGATCCCATGGGAAGAATCAGGCCTCTGCCTCCTCTCCTGGGTAGGTGACTTCTGCCCTCCTCCTGCTGCCTCTCCATCCTGCTGCTTGCTCTAAACCCTCACCAAGTTGGTTGTGCATGTTGGTGGTGGTGCTCTGTCCTGTACTCCAGAGTCTTTCTCTCCTGGTTCCCACATCTCCAGAGAAACTGGGCAGGATTTGTCCAGGACCTTGGTCTTGGTTTGACAATGTCTTCCTAGAACAGCCAGTTATTCTGCCACTTTTTCTGCTACTCCCCTGCCAACGCTTCCACTGCCCTCTTTCTTGACTTTGTCCCAGGTTTCCCTTCCAGCATGCCATGCAGCCAACACACAGCCTGCTGGTCTAACTATTTAGTAGAAGTCCTCACAATGCTTTGTACTGAATAGATACACAAGGGAGACACACTTTGGAGAGAGGGAAGGAAGAACATACTTCCTATAGCTAGAGGTATGTTCCAATGCTAAGAGAGTACCAAAGTCAGACAGGGATTTGGGATATCTTCATGAAAAGAGATAATTTGAACTTGATCTTGAAAGATAAGCATATATTTACCACACCAGCAAGGAAAAGGAGGTATTTTGGGTAGTGGGAACTGCTTGCTCACATTTGAAAGCAGATATGTCTCCCACCTCCCCCAGTGCATATTTACCCTTCTTTTAATAACAAGAACACAATTTTTCTTAGAGTGAAAAAGTTCTCAGTCTATATGTCATGGGTTGAGGGTAGACTCCACCCCAGCTCAGCTAATCAGAATATCAGATGCCTCTGGCTATTGTGGTTGGTTCAAGGGGGTACGTATTGGCTTGATGTAGACCAAAGAGAAATGTTGCTCACAGATATATTTTTTTTTTGTGTATGTTTACTGCTGAAATTGGAGTCTGAAGGAGTACAGTCATCTTGTCACCAAAAGAAGGAATCAATAAGAGAATCATGGGTAGAGTCAACACCCAGGAAGAAGAACCAAGAACTAAAGCAGGACCCAGTTCTGATAACCATATTGTGTTTTTTGTTTTTTTTTTTGTATTGGGGAATTGAATTCAGGGGTGCTATACCACTAAGCCACATCCATAGCCCTTTTCATTTTTTGAGACAGGGCCTCACTAAGTTGCTGAGGGCCTTGCTAAATTGCAAAGGCTGACTTTGAACTTGCCATCCTCTTGCATCAGACTTATGAATCCCTGGGATTACAGCCAGCTCGATAGCACTATTCATGGCGAGATTCACTCCTCAATTTTGTCGTTGGTGGGGAGATGGAAAAGGGGTCATGCATTCTTACTTTCCCCAAACCATTTTGTGTTGAACTTTCTACTATTTGTAACCAAAAAGGTCCTCACTGATATAGAGATGGAAGCAAAATATAGCATAATGTGTCCAACAGTACTAAACATTTAACCTCGGAAGACATGGAGGCCCCATCCTTCTTGACTTGCAGAAGAGGAGACAGAAGTCCAGAGAAGAAAAGCCTCTTGAATTCACACCAAGGGAGGAACAACAGGAGAACGGAGGAGCAGGGCTGGAAGAGGTTGGACTTGACAGGCATCCTACCATCCATTTGGCTTCTAAGCAAAAGGATTTGAAACCACAGAACTGAACTGAGTAGTACATTTCTGGCATCACCTGATTCCTTTTTAGAAGGTCCATGGCCACTTGGTCAGTCCATGGCCAATGATTAGCTGGTGGCCAATGGTAGCATAACATTCAAACAACTTGCCAGATCTCTCAAGCTTTCAGACTTGCTTTGTGTAACCCGGATGTGAAATTACAGACCTCTCCTCTATGAAACTGGTTTTTAAATGAGAGAGACCCTCACACAAATCCTGTACCAATGCTTTTAATAATATATATTTTTAAAACTGCAAATGGAGAACCAGGATAGCTCTCAGAGCTCAATGTGTTTTCTTTCCCCCGATAGATGGATAGACAAGTGACTTATGCAGATGTGGTATATACATTCCGCACAATTTGACCATGGTTAAAGGGTATTTATATTCTGATGCAGATAAAATTGAACATGTCAACACTAATGCATTTTTCGAGGAGAATCACTACTTTCACCATAATTTCCATGGAAAATTTGTGTGCACACGCAGTAATAGACACATTTATAACATCAAAAGGATTCAATTTTCTTTTCAATCATACCACAGTATGAATCGCTTTCCCTATTGAATTTAACAATGAGGCACATTACCAGAGTCTAAAGGATGGGACACTTCGTCTTGCTTTTATGAAAGTACGTCAAACAATGGGTGATACATCACACAATGTCTCGGGTTAACCGAGCCTTTACACAGGCTGGCTGCTAATTTGCTTGGGCCAGCAGAATGTCACTTTTATTTAATTTTGCCAATATGATCAGCAGGGATCCAAAGTCTGTTTAACTCCCAGTTATTAAAAGAGGTTTTTCTTGTTACACGGAGAACTCATTAATTCATGTCTCTCCTAATTCAGAATTTGAGGTCTTTGGAATGGGAGGTGGGAGGTGCTTAATCTCTGCTATGAAGGAAGCAATTTCTTCCTATGCACAAGGCTCTTCAACTGCAGCACAGACAAAGTCTTTAGGAGAATTTTTGATGAATTAATTACAGAAGATCCCTAGGTGGTTACCAGAGAAGCCAATCTAAAGTATTCCAGTAGGGGACACTTTGTTAACCTACCTTCATTCATTCAGTTATGTGGTCACTTGGTCATTTAATCATCATCTATCTGTTCACCATCCCCTACATCCATTCATTCATTCAGAGTTGATTAAGCCCTTTCTATTTGTCAGGTCTTGAGTTTGGGGCTGAGGCTACAAAATGGGAAACGCATCACCCATTGAAATGGCCTCATAGGCTAGTGAAAAGAGCTAGCTATTTGTTCCATTCACCCATCCCCATTTCCCCAGCACCATGAGATTTACTTCCCACTTTTCTTGACCTCACTGTGTTCAGGAAGGCTGAGTAACCCCTTCAGTGGGTTCCCTTGCCTACTAGCTTCTGGTTGGGTTTGGTCAATGAGAGGCACTGAAAGATCAAAGGGTGGAAGGAAAATGTCAGGATTTTTTCCCTAGCTCTCTCTGAGAAGATATTGAATTCCTCTATCACACATGTCTCTGTTCAGGTGCCCACTCCCTTCCCTTGCCCCTGCTGACCTGGGATGGTGAGGACGCTCACTGATACTAATTCTGGGGTACTGAGCTACCTGATTGGTTTCCCCATCCATACACAAATCTGTGTAAATGGTTGCTTTTTGTTCAATCCTCCTCAAATTACCCTCTGTGAGTATATTATCTGTTTTCTGTCAGATACACAGGTAAATTTTTAAAATATGCAAAAAAATAGTATGGGCTATGATAAAAGTGATCCCAGGAGACAGGGGATCTGGAATAGAAGGCACCAGTGGTAAGAGATTTCCAGGGGTCATTCTTGTTTTGATCTGCATTCTAAATAACCAAATCCAATTTGCTTTGAACACAGATCAACGTTCATAGACATTGTTAGACTTTCTGCAAATGCCAACTACTCTTTCTTAGCCTGCCCAAGAAACTGAGGTCTCTCTTTGTATAAATGTTATCAGTTCCTTATATTGAAAATGATCACACTTAAATGGCATTGAGATTTGGAACCACGACTGGGGCATGGATATGGAGCAGTCTTCATTCTAAGGTGACTTCTCCAATCACTTGCTTGTGTCAAAAAACTCAAGTAATATTGACTGGGAAGGGAAGAGTCAACTAAGTCAGTAACAGGGGTCTGTGTGGGTCTGATGCTTCATCTGCTCTCACTACGCTGTCACCCTCTTCAGGGTCTGCACCATGAAGATCAGCCGGCTCACTTCCCTCACTCTCGGGGTCACGTGGATATCTGCAATGCCATTGACTCCTGAAATGTTTTTCTACTTTTTCAAATTCATCACCTATCATTTTTTTTATCATAAAAAATAATTGAAATCCAAAGGATTATTTTTCATGTGGACAATAAATTATTTTTATTAACAAATGGTTTGGGCTTGTTGATTACTGAAAAATCAATCAGAGCTTAAAGATTTCTATGCAAATTAGATCAACTTGACCAGAGAGAAAAATGACTGAAGATCTCTTTCAGGTGTATTTAGGACGAAGCACAAACACTGACTGGGAAAATATAAAGTCTCACTTCTTCAAGATCTTGAGAAGTCATTTAAAGAAGTTATTTCAGCTGCTTGATGGGGAAGTTGATGCATGATCTATTGATGTGATGAAACAGGGGAAATCTCACCGATAGTGAAATCGCACTGAAAGTCACTTGAAAGTAGCCACTGGGGAGAGTAATAATTTGACACAAATCTAGAAGTCAACATAAAATATTTATATTTTTTTTTTGTATGAAAAAAATTATCACTGACACCCTGATAAACTCAAGTGAGATTAAAGAATGTGATAAGGGCCAGAAAGACCTTCTAAACACATTACTTAGAATTTAAAATAAAAGAAAAATTTGGCAGATAGCTATTTTGAATCAACTATTTCAAGGCAATCACTCCAAACTACAGCACCATCTGCTCTTTCTGAGGGGGTGCTGGAGGACCTCCTCACACCATCCTCTTCTCCTCCCACAACTGAGTCTCATTTCCCCGGAGAACATTGGTAGCAGTACCAGGAAGGGACAAGGTTCAAGTCAAGGGTCAGAGTGCCACTTAAGTCTTCCCACAGTTAGCTCTCCAGCTTTCCTTAGCTCTGTCTCCTGCTACTCTGCCCCTCATTCACCAAGCTTCAGCCACTTTAGCTTTGGTCCCTTCCATTGATGGTACAGACCCTTTTGCATGAGGCCTCTGCATATGCTAATTCCTCTTTCTGGAATGTTCTCCTCATCTCTTTCTCAGGCCAATTTTAATTGGCTCCCAGTTCTAACTGAAAATATTATATCATCAGGGAAGTACCCCTGACAAAACATCCCTCTCCACCCTGTGACAGCTCTCACTAGATCAAGTCTCCCTGTTGTTCACTCCCAGGTACCTTGCTTTTGGTTCTTCAAAGCAGTCATCTCGATCTTTCTTAAAAAAACAAAAAGTGATAGTGTGACTTTGTGTTTGGCTCTTATATGTCTCATTTGATTACAAAGTTTATCTGGGATTGTGTCTGTGTTATTCATCTGTCTTCAACATCTAGAGTGACTGATGCTGCAGAACAGGGGCCTGAATAATATCTGCTCAGTGAATGAATGGATAAAGCCTCTTGTCCTCTGATTCCTATAGCTAACCTCAATCCTGTAGCTTGGAAATGGAACTCCATTCCAAATAATGGAGGAACTGGTTGCAAGAGTAGTATTCTGCCTCATATGGGAAGAAATGTGTCTAACATGCACCAAGTCCACATGGTTGGGGAACACCCAGAGCATCTTCTCCAGAGCCAAGGGTGACTTATTTGGGAATATCCCAAAAGTTCCAGTTCAGAGGAGACCAGTTACATCCTCCCCCGCCCCCCACAAATTTTACTCACATATCAATCTACAATGAACCTTATGACTTCAGGTTCACTTTATGTAGAAATAAAGACAAAATGGAAAGCAAAATAAAATACATCATTGAAGCAGCAAAGAGCAACTTGCTCTTCCACCAGGGGTGTGTTTTCTTGCACATAAACCTGAAGAAATGGGGCCAAAGACAGTAGAAAGAGAAGATCAGATAGAATTAAAGGAGTACATGTGGGCATGTGGTGCATGTCTCTAAATGCTAGTGTGTGCATTTCTGTCCATGCAGGGGTGTGTGTGCTGGATGAAGGTCTGAGGAAATCCACCTACAGGTTCATGGTGAAGGAGGTCAGTTTTCCTACATCTGATACACATATTTTGAAGAAACCCAAAGGTCTTACCTGGATTGAAGGAGAATTTTGATGAGAGTTGACAGGACAACAGTGATCCACCTGACAAAATCCTGGGAGTTGAGTTCAAGGAACTCTGACAGGTGAGATCAAGGAATCCCAGGTGGCACCCCAGGAGTTAGGGAGTGAAGAAGAGGAGTAGAATGTCCTCATCTGGGTGAACTCAGAATCCCAGGGATCTGCTGTGCAAGGCTCCCCTGGAGGGGAGGAGGGCATATGGAAAACAATGACCTCCAGAGGGATAGAGAATCACGTGCACCCAGCTGGGCACAGGGGTACACACCCGTAATCCCAGTCACTTGGGAATCTGGAGTAGGAGGATTGCAAGCTTGAAGCCAGACTTGGAAACTTGGTAAGTCCCTAAGCAAATCAGTGAGACCCTGACTCCAAAAATAAAGTGGCTGGGGATGTAGCTCTGTGTTGAAGTACCCCCCTGGGTGCAATTCCTAGCGAGGAAGGAAGGGGGGAATATGAAGGCAGCCAAACCAGATGGAGGGAGGGAAAGAAAATAAGGAAACAAAGATCTTACTGAGCACTAAGTTCAACCCTGTCCTTGAGGGAACTGAGGAAATCAGAAAAGGAAAGTCACAAAGTAACTTGTCCCACTATTCTTCACATCTGGAATTTGCAGAGATATAAAAAGGCCTGTGGAGATAAAGAGAGCTTAGAAAAGGAAATGTGACCACAAACAATTCAGTGTGTGCCCTGGATATATGTGAGCCTAGATTGGGAAAATGTAGATACTGTTTTGCAGGCTCATGGGCATGCACCTTATGGGCAGGGCAGGTATGTGCACTCGCTGACTCACAGCATGGTTTTTTATCTATGTACGTTGTATCTGTAGTGCTAAAGGGAATAAAAATTAAATTAAAGCTAGGATATTTTGGAGATAAAAATCTGGTAATAATATTGACAAGTACAACATGTTATTTTATTTATGGGGACAAGAATTTTCCATTATTTTATTTAATAGGTAAAATCCCATGAAATTCAAATTAGCATCCCTATTTTGCAGTTATATTCTGAAAGGCTCACTGGGGTTCTGTAATTCATCTGTGTCACATGGCTGTCAGGTGGCAGAGTACGATTTGAACTTAGATCTCTCTTACCTTGCAAGCAGAGCTTCCAAAAGACTCTGGCAACAGTTCATGTGTGGCCCAGGACATGGTCTCTTGTACCCTGAGTGAGTGTAGCCACTGGTCCTCCTTCGGTATGCTTCCCGAGATGCCCTCACTCTGATTGTAAAACTAGCATTCTACACTATTTCTGTCCACCCAGAACACAGTTCACCTGACTAGAAGAAAAGCCCCCAGGGACTGAGCTATCTCTGCTTCATTTTCTATTGTCCCCTGATAGCTTGCACAGTCTATGATGCAGAAGGAGTTCAGAAAGAATATTTATTAAATAAATGAATAGTAAATAGATTGTAATGCTTGCCTAAGCTATAACATATTTTTAAAGAAATCTAATATCTTTCCCATATGCATGCCAATTAGCTAGCACATAAATTCTGCTATGGGAATTCTCCCCACCTCCTCCAATCTGAAGACAATGAGTTGATTGGCTGGCAGACCTTGGGGCTGGCAGAGGCTGGCAGTGTGTTCAGAGCCCACAGCCAAGTTGGCAGCATAGGCCCTGTTGTGTCATGGTCCTTGCCAGGTGGAAAGCAGCCTGACACAGGCTTTCCCAAGTGGCCAGAGGGATCCAGGTACCATGAAAAGACAGGAACAAAGAAAGAGTTATGGGTTAAGGGTCTCAGGGCCCAGTATGTGCAACCAAGAAGAAGTGACTCAAAATACCTCCAGCATTTAACCCATCACCTATACAATGAGGCAGATAATAATATGCAGTTCATGCCAAGATGAAAATAACCATTCACCTCATATGAGGTCATTTGGACTTGAAAACTATCCCCTAAGCTGCCTCAGCTTTCCCTCTCAGCACAGCACTGATCTCTGATTTGTCTTATGGGAACTTCTCAGCTGCTCTTGCTCATGGAACTTCAGCCTGACGTGGCCCCGTGCTTTCCACCCCCATGGTACCGCTGTGGACATGAGGGTTTGGGAAAAGGCTGTTACCGTCCTGAAGTTGGGCAGGTGGGACTTGATCTGAACTCAGCACTCTCTGGCTGGATGGCCATAGGCCACAAGGTTTCACCTCTCTAAGCCTCAGTTCTCTCTTTAATCACATGATGACACTCTCATTCAGTAAACACTTATGGTTTGATGTATGGCAAATATTGTTCTAAGTTTCACAGCAACCCTGATCTGCTTCAAAGGGGCCCAGGTTTAGTGAAGAGTGACAAATAATAAAAAAACATAATAGTGGAGATATGTCATATACACAAAATGCCCATGGCATGAAAATGAAAGACAGGAGATACAGAACGCTATGGTAGGAAGTTGCAGTTTCCAACAGGGATCTTAGAGTAGGCCTGTCTGAGAAGATGGAACAAATTATTATAAATGTAAAGGGGAAAGGGAGCAAGCCATATGACTAAAAATATTATAGACAGAAGAGACAGCAAGTGCAAGAGCGAAATGGGAATGTTTAAGCATAGGATGGAGGCCAGTGTGCTGGAACAGAATGAGAGAGGGACAGGGCAGAGAAGAATGGATGTGATGAGGTCAGAACTACATTACCCAGGGCTATTTCATATCATTTTTTTTTTATTGGTGGTTGCATGAAACAACATGTATGTCAATGTGTCAAGCACATAGAAATGAAGAATTAATTCTCTTTTCGTTCTTATGGAGAAATGCCCTGTTTAAAAACTCTCTGCAGTGACAATTTGGGGTCAAAGATTTGATGTGAACTTCTGGAGTCTGCACCTCCCTCTCAACCATTCGATCTGCTTTGATTTGGGGTGGGGTTTCCTGTCCTGCCCTGCACTTGTCAGCCACTCCTGCTTCCACGCCTACAGGCCCAGGCCTCTGAGAACAGCTAAACCTCTGACTCAACTGGGTTTAGTTGACACTCACCCCCTGTTGGTCTCAGTTTTACCTCTCTTGGCATGAAAATGGACATTCTGCTGAGACCTTTTTGATGTGGGCTGGGCTCAAGGATCGGGTAGGAATAGGTGTCCAGTGATGGTACCTGCAATGGTTTAGATAAGAGGCGTCCACCCAAAGCTCAGGGGTGAGGCACTGCTAGAAAGTACAGAGGTGAGCTGATGAGTAATGAGTTGTGACCTAACAGTGGTTACTCCCTATATGGATGAACCAGGTGGTAACCATAAGTAGGGACAGCTGGAGGAGGTGGGTTCCTGGGGGTGTGCCTTACAGGGATATGTTTTGTCCCTGGTCAGCAGGGCGCTCTCTCTCTCTCTCTCTCTCTCTCTCTCTCTCTCTCTCTCTCTCTCTCTCTGCCTCCTGGCTGTCATGTCCTGAGCTTCTTTCCTCCACCATGTCCTTCCGCCATGATGTTCTGCCTCACCTTGACCTCAGATGAAATCAGCCATCCATGTGGACTGAACCTCTTAGACCATGAGCCAAAATAAACTTTTCCTCTTCTTCTTATTCTTGTCAGGTCTTTTGGTCATAGAGACAAAAAGGCTGACTGAAACCGTATCTGTTGTACCCATTATTCAGGGCATGGAAAAATGTCCCTAGTACTAAAAAGCAGCAAGGCTGCTGCCTCTAAATGACAGTCCTGACAAGCCTTCTGAATTCTGCCTTTCACCTCTTGAAAAATCCACACTTCCAGATTCCTCAGTTTCTCTTAGATGTCCACCTGATGTGTCGAAGCCACATGAGCTACAACCAGTTCTGTGAAGAAAGAAATCATAGCAGACGAATCTTTTGGGGGAGAAAAAAACTCCCAGAAATGGTAAGCCTAAAAGTAATATAGCTCTAATTTTTGGAAGAACCTAATAACCATGATCTCATTTAATCCTTACAACAACCCCATGTTGTAAGTACTATTAACATCTCTATTTTACAGAGAAAGATGTCGAGGATCAGAACAGTTAAGTAATGTGCCTTAGATCATACAGCTGGGGATTAGCAGAATTGGGGCTCAAAGCCAGTCCTCTCTGATCCTATAATGCTTTCATGCATCTCTGTAGAAAAAAGATTGAAGGGAGTTGACAGAGCTTATAAGCCCTCAGCCTCCTACTCTCTCAGTACTAGAACTAAGACAGGGCTCTGGAGGACTTCAGGAAATCAATACATCAAGCACTGTCACCTGTGCTCAGATCTAGGTTAGTGCCACAGAGTATTCAAAAGGAAATATTTTCTCTGTCTCTTATTTATCCCTAATTGACTAGAGAAACCTCCACGCACAGGGGCAGAGGGAAGACGGATGCTGTGGGTTACTGATGTTCAGGGAGATAGCTGCAGAGAAGGTTCTGGCAGAGCTTAAGCAGGGGCTAGTCTTTGCAAAGGGACCAGTGAGCAGGTTGGAAAAGTGCTACTGCACAAAAGCAGGGGTGAACATGCTGTGCTGGGGCAGGGGCACAGTGAAGGGACCAGTGGGGATACGGAGGGAGATGGTAAGCCAATAAGAATTAGCAGATGTCCAGGCCTTGTGGTGTAGGCAACACCGAGGAGCTGACTGATGCTTACAGAGCTTCTTGTCTCATTTAATCCTCACCAGAGCCCCGGCATGAGCTGTTAGTTATCCCTGTATTAAGGCAAGGTAATGAAGGCTCTGAGTAGTGAAGGGACTTGCCTGAGGTCCCTTCAGCTCTAACTAGGTAGGACCAGATGCAAGTAAGCACCCTGACTTCAGATCCCATGGCCTCTGTGAGGCACAGCATTGTAGGATGAAACCAGGCAGTTCATGGAAGACCAGGAATATGAGTCAGAGGAGAAAAGAGGGGCCCTAGAATTCCTGTCTTAACATGAGGGGTGCTGAAGACCAGTGAGAGTCAGGATCAAAAATGCTCTTATGCTGGGGATTGTGAGAAAAAGAAAAAAACCAATGTAACGGGACAAAGAAAGAAGATAAAGATGGGAAAAGGAGAAAGATGGAAGGTGGAAGAGACGAAGAAGTAGGAGGTAAACATGAGGATATGGGGGAGGGGGGAAATGAGAAAGCACTTGAGTGAGACTCTAGGACCCACGGACTCTGCTAGGGAGGACACGGTGAGCTAGAACAATCTCACCACGTGGGTAGGGGGACGTGGGGGGTGCCAATGAGCACACTTCCCTGAGGGGTCTAGAGCAAGAGTTGATTTCAGGGATGAGTTTCAGCTCACTTGCAAGCAGGGCAAAGAATCATGAGCACAAGAAGTTATTAGAAAGACGACTAGCATATTGGATGAAATCCTGGTTATAGAAATCTCTCCCGCCTCATCATCCTACCTGATCGTACAGGACTCTGTGGGGGAGTCATTGAAAGTCACGGCCCCCAGAGAAGGGTTCCGTCTTCTGATTCACTGTCGTGTGACCTTGGATACCTTATAAGCTCTTTGATCATTGGTTTCCTCATCTATAAGCCTGTCCCACATGTTAAAAAGCTTAGAAATAGCAAGGAGTGTTCACAGGACTGGATACAGATTTTTAAGGAGATGGTGGGGAAAAAAAATATAAAACAAAGACCGACAGGGAACAGATTATGAAAGAAAAAATGCACCTGTATGAATAGGGCTGGGGAGAGATTGAAGTGTTTTAGTTGGTGGCAGGAAAAGGAAGTATGTGACAGCCCTAGGTCCTTGAAAGAAGAGAATGGGAGGCGAATGGGGGGGGGAGCATCAGGAATACACAGACCCCCATTATTTAGATAATACTAAGGGGGTAGTAAGAAAATAATTTAATAATAATGCTCCAGAGTTAATGATTGCATGATTTTAGATTTGCTTAACTGTAGTCATCATTTCAAACAGCTTGTTGTATACCTTAAATACATAGATTATTAAATAATAATTATTATTATTATGAGTGTCAAACAGCTTGTTGTATACCTTAAATACATAGATTATTAAAAAAAAAAGCCAAGGAGTACATAGAAGTAAGGTGTGACTGGATTTGGCCCCCTTTCAGGGTCATTCTTATAAGTTTTGCCTCTCAAACTAACATAAAAGACTTGGTCCCAGCAGAGTGTTTAACAAAGCCAGCACTCATCCTGTCCCCACCCAGTCACTGGAAGAAGCATTCTGTGCTCCCAGGAGTCAAGGGCTCCCCTCTGTTGATTCTCCAAGTTGCTTTATGTTGGGTTCCTGTGAATCTCCTGGTCAGTCTTCAGCCCTTTCAGTCTAAGTCTCCAGGCCCTCTCCTAAGTCCCTTCTCACTCCCAGGGCCCCTAGTCAGACTGGAGATAGAACCTGACTGAGTTGGAGGGAAAGCTACTTCTTATTGACACAGGGAAGAAGATGAGAGAGGTTGAGGAGACCCAAGGATGTGACCGCTCAGAACATTCCTGCTGTCAGCAGTCACATGGGAACCCCAGCAAGTGGTGGGTTATACTCGGCCTGGGACAGCTGGCCTGTCTCCCGGGCCTAGGCCAGCTCTCTAATATCAGGAAGATCACCTACTTCTCTTTCCACACCAAAAGCTTCAATGACAGGAAGTGCACAGAGCCAAGAGCCAGAACTGTGTGTATGGGTTCCTTTTTGTCCCCAAACAACTGTGTTGACTTTAGGCAAAACCTTCCCTGAAGGCTTCAGTCTCTTCATATTTAAAATGAAGGATTAAAATGTTAATTTAGATAAACCCAATCATTTTGAACCCCCCACTAAATCTTATGTTTTAAAATTCGTTGCTTGCAAACACAATGCATCAATTATGTAATCATTTATTTCTTAGTTTAGAAATCAAAGGTAGACAAAGATCAGTTTTGGAATCAGGAAATTGGAATCAAATCATTGTGATTCAACACATGAAAAGTCCACAGTGCCACAAGTGTCCATTAGAACTTTTGACCAAGGTAAGATAATTGGATGGCCACATTTACCCGAAGTCTTTCTGGCCCTAAGTCAAGACTCTCAGTGATTACTATTGATTGATTGAATGGAAGAAGGATGAGTGAATGAGTGAGTTAGCAAAGAAACAAATGAAGTCGTGGCTTGTTTTTTTCTTGTTGGTTTTTAATATTTTTAGTTGTAGATAGACATATGCCTTTATTTCTGTTTATTTAGATTTTAATGTGGTGCTGGAGATCCAACCCAGTGTCTCACACAAGCTAGGCAAGCGTTCTACCACTGAGCCACAACCCCAGCCCAGGTCATAGCTTGCTTGATTTGAAAACAGAATAGGAACTGGAGGTCCCTCCTCTATCTTCTATATTCTTGTCTAAATGGGCCCAGGGAAGCCATGCGGGGATTTAGCACACCTCTTGGATTTAGCCTTTTTGTTTCTGGAAAGGTACCTCATACTCCAAGCCAGTCTGATCCTTGACTTCATTTCTTAGCCCCAGGATTATGATTCTCAAAATTACATGCTTCTCTATTTGTTCCCCAAATCCTGGGAGAAGGCCTAAGGAAACTCTCTCCTCCTCCTCATTCTCCTCTTCTTCCTTCTCCTCCCCCTCCTTCTCCTCCCTCCATCTCTTGTCCTTCCTTGCCCCTCATACCCCCATGACTGTCCATCTTTTAAGGCCAAGCACTGAAGAATGAAAGCATGGCTGCTCTTTGTCCCCAGTGATGCCAACTCATTACTCTCCCTCTCCTGTTATTATTGCTTGGGCTCAGGTTGATGTGTTTCTGATTAATGAGGCATTTGTTATGCACCACAAAACAATTGAAGAACACCCTTCTCATTCCAGTGAATTGTGTCACAAAGTTAATTATGAGGTGACCTTCCTCGATTCCAGGCAGGGGAGATCAGGTGTCCGAGCCTTACCGGACAATTATCTTCCAGAAATGACTCAGGGGCAGATGCAAGGAGATGTCGAAGACCTGAGGCTCACACTCAGAGCCTCAGATCCCCCATGGCCTCATGCTCTGTGTTCTACACTTAGAATTCTCCACCGTCCCTTTTCTTCCCTGTCATCCTGTCTCGGCGAGAGAAGGGAGAAAGCACAAGCCTAGATGTCTGACAGATCTAGATTGAAATCTGTGTGCCTTTGAGCAAATCACTTAAGATCTGTGAGTCTCTACCGCATAGGAGGGGGAAATAATGCCCAACAGCCCTGTGATTGGGGCTTTTTGGAATTATGCAAACAGTGAGGGGAA